GGTACATGAGATGTGTTCATATAGGCATACAGTGCATCATAATCACATCAGGCTAAATGGGGTATCCATCACCTCAAACATTTCTCATTTTTTTTGGTGTTACAAACATTCTAATTATACTCTTAGTTATTTTTAAATGTACATTTTTGTTGGCTGTAATCCCTAGTTGTGCTACCAGATACTAGATGTTATGCATTCTCTTTTTCTGTAAATTAACCATCCTCCCTTCACAGATGTATATTCTTAGAGATACTCAACTATCACTTCTAATACATGAATTTAAATATGTAATTTTTTTTTTTTTTTTAAAGGAGACAGGGTTGTGCTCTGTTGCTCAGGCTGGAGTGCAGTGATACAGTCATAACTTAAGCTCTGGGGCTTAAGCAGTCCTCCTGCCTCAGCCTCCCAAGGAGCTGGGACTATAGGCACACACCACCATGCCCAGCTAATTTTAAAATTATTTTGTAGGGATCTCACTGTGTTGCCCAGGCAGGTCTTGAACTTCTGGCCTCAAGCTGTCCTCCCATCTCAGCCTCCAAAAGTGCTGGGATTACAGGCATGATTCCCTGTGTCCTGCCAAACATATAGATTTTACTCTAAGCATAGCTCTGTCTACTTTCACAGTTTTGATATTTCTTTTCAGTGCATTATTTAATTCAAAATACTTTTGAGTCTCTTTTTGACTTAAAGGGTTACTTGAAATACACTGCTTAATTTCCTGACAATGGAACATTTTCTAGTTATTTTGTAATTGTTGTCTAGCCTAATGCTAGACACAGAATATACTTTGAATAATTTTAGTCCCTTGATATTTATTGAATCTTGCTCTTTCACTCAGCATATGGGCAACTTTAGAAAATATTTCTTGTGTACTTGCAAAGATTATGTATTATCCTATTAGGTATAGTGTCAGTTAGATCAGATTTGTTCATCGTGCTCTTCAGATCTTCTATAGGGTACCAAAAGTTATAAGGGTGTATTCATGTATACTCAGAAGTGCCACCCCATTCCTGCACTTTCCATCTTGGTCACACCTCTCCCATGTGTAACCAATCTCACTGGACTCCCATTTCTACTTTATGGAGTTATTTTGCACATATGAGCAGACACATTTGTATTTTCCTATTTTCCCCATTTTATTCAAAAGGTATGCTGTGGCTGTGATTTGCACTTTGGGTTTTTAACTTAATAAATCCTGGAAATCATACTTAGTCAATTATAGGGCTCTTCTTTCCTTTCCCCCCGCCCCCAACAGATTCATAGTACTCCATTATGGGAATGTACCATAGTTTATTCCATTAGTCTCCCATGAATGGGCATTTAGGTGTTCCCTAATACTTTGCAAGGCTGCAGTGAATAACCTTATGCATATGTATTTTCATGTTGTTGTTAAACATATCTCTTCACTTGGGATGATTATAACAAAATACATAAACTGGGTGGCTTATAAACAACAGAAACTTATTTCTCACTGGTCTAGAGGCTGGAAGTCCTAGATAAGAGTGACAGTATGGTGGAGTTCTGGTGAGGGCCCTTTTTTTCGGGTTTCAGACTGTGGACTTAGATGCTCAGGCATATCTCTGGAGAGCAGAGACAGGAAGCATGCTCTTGGACTTTCACAAGGACACTAATCCCATTCATGAGGGCCTCACCATTATGACCTCATCTAGTCCACATTGCCTCCAAAAGACCCTACCTTGTAATAGCATCACATTGGGGAGTATGGTCTCAACTTACTAATTTTGGGAGCACACAAATGTTTAGTTTGTAACAGTGTATCTTTTCATAAATTTCTAGAAGTGGAATTGCTGGATCAGAAGGCACATGTAGTTTTGTTATTGTCAAATTCCTCTTTATCCATATGATAGAAAATTCACATTCCCATGAGTAGTGTATGAGAGTTCCTGTTTCCCCGCATCCTTACCAGCGGACAGGGTACTGCTGTGACCTTTTTAAAAAATCGACAGTTGTTTATGTATTTGTATTTTCACAGAGGTAAAATTCCCATAACATAAAATTTACCATTTTAACAACTTCAAAGTGTACAATTGAGTGTTTTTTAGTATATTCAACCATCACCATGATCAAAATTCAAACCATTTCTCTCATCCCCAAAAGAAACTCCTTACCTATTAGCAGTCATTCCCAACTCTGCCCTACCCCTAGCCACTGGCAGCTGGTAATCTTTCTTCTCTATAGATTTGTGTATTCCTTCATATAAGTGGAATCACAATTTGTGATCTTTCATGTCTGATTCCTTTGTAGTATAATGTTCTCAAGGTTGCTCCGTGCTGTAGCATGTATCAGTGCTTCATTTCTTTTTTTGCTGAACAATATTTCATTGTTGGGTATACCACATTTTGTTAATCTGTTTATCCAGTGAAAGATGTGGATATTTGGGTTATTTTCACTTTTCAGTGTTGTGGGTAATGCTGCTGTGAACATTCACATGTGAGGGTGTTTCATTTTGTTTTATCTCAGGGTCTCTCTCTGTCACCTAAGCTGGAGTGCAGTGGCATGATTACAGCTCACTGCAGCCTCGACCTCCTGGGCTCAAGCAAGCCTCGGCCTCCCAAGTAGCTGGGACTACAGGCACATGCCACCATGCCCAGTTAATTTTTGTGGTTTTTGTAGAGATGGGGTTTTGCCATGTTGCCCAGGCTGGTCTTGAACTCCTGAGCTCAAGCAATCTACCTGCCTGAGTCTCCCAAAGTGCTGGGATTACAGGCATGAGCCAGTATGCCCAGCCGTGAGTTTTTATTTGGACATACATTTTCAGTTCTTTTGGGCGTATGTCTACCTAGAAATGGAATGGTAGGTTCACATGGTAACTCCGTGTTTAACCTTTTGAGGAGCTGCCAAACTATTTTCATAGCAGTTGCACCATTTTATACTCTTCCAGCAATGTAGGAAGGTGCCAGTTTCTTCACATCCTTGCCTACACTTGGTATATCTTTTTAATTAATTGGATTGTCTTTTGCATTCTTTTCTATCATTTCTCCCCTCATTTTAAAAGAATTTCTGTATATATATAGGGTATTAGCTTATTTCTGTGATACATGGTACATGTGTTTTTCTTTTGTGTTTTTGGCATCTTTTGACTTGGTTTATGGTTTTCCTTTTACTGTGCTGTCATATCATTTTTTTTTTTAACTAATTGGAAAGTGATTTGGATGAAAAGATGTTATTTGTGCTTTGTTTGATACCAACAGAGGGTTGGCCCTTTTCTTTGCTGGGCAGATAGTGGGGAGCTGACAGGGTCTGGCTCTGTCCCCCAGGCTGGAGAGCAGTGGCACGATCTCGGCTCATTGTAGCGTTCCCCTACTGGGTTCAAGTGATCCTCCCACCTCAGCCTCCCAAGTAGCTGGGACCCAGGCTTGCGCCACAACTCCTGGCTCTTTATTGTATTTTTTTGTAGAGATGGGGTTTTGCCAAGGTGGCTAGGTTGGTCTTGAACTTTTGAGCTCAAGCAGTCTGCCTTCCTCAGCCTCCCAAAGTGTTGGGATTATAGGCATGAGCATCTGTGCCTGGCTGGATCTGTGGTTTTGTGTTTGTGTGTGTGTTTGTTTTGAGACAGTCTTACTCTGTGGTCCAGGCTGACGTGCAGCAATGTAGTCAGAGCTCACTATAGCCTCAACCTCCTGGGCTCAAGCTGTCCTCCCACCTTAGCCTCCTGAGTAGCTGGGACTACAGGAACACACTACCATGCCCAAGCTAATTTTTGTATTTTTTAGTAGAGACAAGGTCTTGTCATGTTGCCCAGGCTGGTCTCAAACTCCTGGGTTCACGCAGTCTTCCCGCCTCAGCCTTCCAAAGGGCTGGGATTACAGGCATGAGCAGCCATACCTGGCCTGCCATGATGGATCTGAGCAGGTATTGTACTCCAGGTTTACAAAGTTCCCTTTGCTTCTGCACCCAGCTGTTCTCATTGCAAGCCTGGGAATGTCCTGATATTATTCTGGTTTATTCCTGAGGTCTTACTCCTGTTTTCTAAATGCTTTCACTGTTTTGAGAGGCTCCTTCTCAGCTCAGGTTCAGGATTCAGTAACTGTCTTCAGGAGACAACCCGCAGAGTGTTTGACACAGTCTCCACCCTTCCTTCTCACCAGAATCCAAGATTTGATCTCTTGCTGCCAAAAGCTCTGCTGGTTTCTCTCCCATTAGTAGACTTTTCCTGGCCCTTCAAGCTCTGAAGGGCTCAGAATTGGCAAATGCCCTGTGGGAAAAAGCAGCCAGTTGTTAAGTATCATTTCCCGTCTTCATCTGTGTCACTCATTGTCTTGGTTGCCTCAGAATGTCTTCGTCTTGAGCCCTTCAAACATTGTTTGGGTTAAAAAGATTTTTAATCTGGATTTTCGTTTTTCTCAGTGGGTGTTCAGGCTTGTGCAGGCTATTTCTTCACACTCAAATAGAAGCTCTTTATCACACTTAAAAAATGTAATTGTGCATGCTTTTTTCATTTTGTTTTCAGTTGCTCTCTGTCTGATTCTCCTGTTAACAGTGAGTTGGTTAAGCCAGGGACCTTATTTTAATTATAGTGTTGTTAATCACCAGTGTGTAGTATATGTAATGACATTCATTGAATTTGTATTATACGAAGAAAGAACTTTTCTCTTAGGTAAAAGTTTTCAAAAGTAGGCAGCAAATTCACAAATTTGGCTTTGCTATGAGATTTTCCAACAAATATAAAGGCTATGATAATAAAAGGGGTGGGGATGGGGGTGTTATATTGTTTGTAGATACTTTTTGACACAGCTGAAATTGGAGTCCTGGCCTTTTAATAATTTGTTTAACAAATATTTATTCTGTAAATCAGGTCCTACTCTGGGTGTGGGGAGAGATAGCGATTATTTTAGTGGGTTAGGTCTCTATTCTCCTCAGGCTCCTTCTGCATATAACTTGAGAGAGTATAGGACATTTCGTATAAACATCAACATATCACATTGTAATTGGTAGATTTCAAGTATTATACACCAAAAATTATTTTGTTCTCTTAACAGAATATGACAGATACCTAGCATCTAGCAAAATAATGGCAGCTGCTTACCTTGACCCCAACTTGAATCACACACCAAATTCGAGTACTAAGACTCACCTGGGTACTGGTATGGAACGTTCTCCTGGTGCGATGGAGCGAGTATTAAAGGTCTTTCATTATTTTGAAAGCAATAGTGAGCCAACCACCTGGGCCAGTATTATCAGGCATGGAGATGCTACTGATGTCAGGGTAAGTACGTTTTCCATGAGACATCTTTAATGTTTATTTAGGTTAAAATTTAATGGCGTGTATGAAGAAAGATAGTGTAATAATTTTCATTTAACTTATCAGGGACTTTTCATATTACAGAAACGTTATTTTTAAGATTTATTAGTTAATATGTGACTGACCAGAGTTCTAATTGTTGTAAAGTTTCTTAGAAAAATAGTGACTGAATCATATTTTAGTCATAAAATGCCATTGACTTGTTTTTCCCTCGTAGGTTTCTTTTTTTTAACTCTTGGGTGAGTACTAGGAAACAGTGCAACTAAAATAGCCTCTAATAACTCAAGAAACAAACTACTTTTCTAGAAAGTGTAATTTTGAAGGTATTTGCATGATTTCAGATAGGATAATTTCTTTTAAAGCTCTTGAACATACGCTGTGTGTCAGACACTGTGCTAGGCTCTGAAGATGCGAAAGGTCCCTGTGAAGTCCTTGATCTTACAGCTTCGAGCCTGTGGAGGGAGAGACATCATGAATGTGACTATGGTACAGGCAGAAATGCCTCACGGGAGCTGTTGTGGAAGCTGGGAGGGATAATACCTTTTAAATGTAGAAGTTAGTACTGGAAAGTATTGCCTTTGGGTCTGGGAAGCGAGTAAAGATAGTGATACAGAATTATGGGAGAAGAGCATGCTAGGCAAAGGTAACTACATCTCCCTGAAAGTGGGGAATGAGAAGGTAGCACTGTGATTTCAGAAAGCTGAGTTCAGTATTTAAATGTTCAGTATTTGCTTAGGTGAAGTGTTAAATACCTCCTCTTTCTTCCCCTCTCCACCTAGTCTCTATTCATCTTTAAGGAGTAGAAGTTTCCGTGACAAGGAAGTTTAGATACGTCTTTTTTATTTTCTTTCTTTCTTTTTTCTTTTTCTTTTTTTTTCTTTTTACAGTAGCTGAATTAATTAATTTACTACTCTCTAACTTACATGCCCTTATTATTTTTAACCAAAGCAAAGGGATTGGTAGAATTTAGATTTAAGGCTAAAAGGTCGGGCACAGTGGTCCATGTCTGTAATTCCAGTACTTTGGGAGGCCAAGGTGGGCAGGTCACTTGAGGTCAGGAGTTCGAGACCAGCCTGGCCAACATGGTGAAACCCCATCTCTACAAAAAATACAAAAATTAGACAGTTGTGGTGGCACATGCCTATAGTCCCAACTACTCAGGAGGCTGAGACAGGAGAAACACTTGAACCCAGGAGGCAGAGGTTGCAGTGAGCTGAGATCGCGCCGCTGCACTCTAGCCTGGGCAACAAAGCGAGACTCTGTCTCAAAAAAAAAAAAAAAGAAAAGAAAAGGGATTTAAGGCTAAAGTCTTATCTATAAATTTTACATAATTTTTTGTTACCTCTAAATTTTAATATTAGCGAACCATTTCAAATGGATTATTAAAAATATGATAGCCTCTTTTTTTACAAACTCTTTATGAAGTTGGTTAGCTTTTTTGCTTTTTCTGTTTTTTTCTGCTTCTGTGTTTTACTTTTAACTTTATAAACACTGTCATTTAGTGGAAAGGCCTGAAATGAGGGTCCTTCCGTAAGGTTTTTCAGATAATTCATACTGGAAAGAAATCTTGATGTAACTTGATGTAAGGCTTTTAGTGTATATTCTAGTCTTTGTAGATTTCAGATACAATGAATGAGGAAACTCTTCAATAAAACCATTGTATCAGCCCTAATAAACTTCAGAGCATTCATACAGGAGGCAAACCTTTCGAAGATTATGAATTTGACAAGACATTTAGAAAAAATGTTCAAGACTTACATCAGAAAACTCACCTAGGAAAGAGTGTAACAAATGTGCCATGGTTTTAGTATCAAACTTTCTTCATGTAAGGGGATTACTACCATAGAGCCAGTGTCAATGCAGGCATGTCAGCCTGTAGCCAGTGTTAAAAACTTCCTAGTCATACATTCATATTGTGAAGAAAAATTTACATCAGATGCAAATGCGTAAGTTATCAGAACTCATCAAACTCGTGAGTATCAATCTGATCAAATGTATGTGACCACAAACAAGGTGTTTTATTTCACAGTAATTGGCAAATCATCAGTCAATGATTTTCAGATTGAGGCAGAAAAATCACAGTTGGCATTGAATTCACCATAGCCTTTCCTGGGATAGCATGAGGTTCTCATGATACTGAGTCACTGTAATGGAAGATTGGATGTTATTCATAACCCACTTCCATTGAATGCTTTAATGCTATAACATTTGAAAATGCAATATCGTAATTGTAAATTAATGAGTGGATTTGCACATCTGAAGAACATAAGAGGTATCAGACAAAGGAACATTGTGGTTACAGAGTATTGTCAGGAAAGAGAAAAATGGAAGAAACATGACAGCATTTGAAGGCCTGATGACCTTAGAACAGGAAGTGGGGATTGTAGGATTTAGATTGAAGAATTAGATTAGTAAAGAATCTAAGTATAATTACTTGTCAGAAAGAAACTGACCACTGAATAGCATCAAAGGGCATGCCACACAACTTTTCTGAAATGATATAGCTTCTTGTTATTCAGGTAGTGAATAATTCGATTCAGTCTTAAACTCATAGCTACATTGTCCATTATCGTAGCCATGTGCAGCTGTTGAGCACTTGAATGTGGCTAGTCTGAATTGACATGTGCTATAGTATAAAAATATATACCACATTTCAAAGAGTAAGAAAACAGAATAAAATATCTCATCAATGTGTTATGATTACATGTTGAATGGTAATACTTTTGATATAGTAGGTTAACTATATTACTGAAATTGAATTCACCTGTTTATTTTTTACTGTGGCTACTAGACATTTTAAAATTACTTATGTGGCTTGCATTATATTTCTGCTGGATAGTTGAGCTCTATAGAAAGCAAATTCTCAGAAAGACTGCTTGGATCAGAAAAACTAAAACCTTTTGAGGAGTTTAAAGATTTGTTTTCACCAAGAATGGATTTTTGTAACATTTCATTGTAGAGGCTTTCTCGTGCTTCACTTAATAAGTATTAGTGCTTTTACAGTTGTGTGTGCTAATTGTATGTTAATTAATGTTTGGTTGTTGAAAAGATTCACAAGATTTCACTGTTTATAGGCAATGTCCATTACAGCGACAGTAGTAAAATGATACTCATTGAAGTGATCTGGAGATCTTGGGTCCAGGCTTCTTGGCCTTGGACATGATTTTTCTGTAGATGTGAAACCATTACTGGCTTATGTGTAAAGCACCTTGGTATGAGGAAGTGGTAGGGATCTGTGAGAGGGTCACACAAGCATCTCCATCTACATAGCCAAGCTCAACCTGTGGACCTCCCCAGGCGCTGCCAAAATCAGATGCACCTTGTCAGTCCAGTTATTATTACAAAATCGCACTGACAAGCTGGTATATTCTGCCCCTTAAACAGCTCAGGATCCCATGATCACAAACATCACTTATCTTGGCCATAGCTTTGGCCAAGTGTCAGTACCGTGCTTCGGGCAGCCCTAGAGATAAGCGTGGGGTCAATCTAGAACAGCCAAGAGAAACCCAGGCTATACAGTGTTGAATAAGACCAGTCATCTAGAAACATGGCAGTGATAATTCAGAAAAATAATGACATAAAATTCCAAATTCTACTGGAGAAATCGCCTATTTAGGAGAAAGAATGACATTTACACCAGACTTTTCATCAGCAGTGCTGGATGCAAGAAGATATTGGAACAGTATCTTCAAAGGACTCAGGGAAAATAACGTGTACCTTAGAAGTCTATATCTGATAAACTGTGAATCAAGATAATGTGAAATGAAGGTATCTGCAGAGAAGTAGTGACATAGAAAGCTAATAGCATGGGCTGTCTTTGAAACAATTAGATGATATAATTCTGCATGGAAAAAAGTGAGCCCAGAAGAAGATACTGTAACAGGATGCAAGAGACAGTGGTCCATTGTCATACTTGCTGCCTTGTATGCTGTCTTGTACCTCTCTTAATGTCCCCGTAGTCTCTTGAATCTACCACCATGATTTAATCCAACTTTCTGCCTATTCTCCATCTGTCGCCATCCTGTGATTGGTCTCATTCTAGATTTGCAACCTTAGTGCTACCCAGCTGTCAAGCTGTATCCCTCCATCTTGTTCTCTCCTAGACAACCATTTCAAACCTCCTCCACTTTCATGAACTGCAGCACTTGAATAAGTCCACACATTTCTATGTCTTCCCTTTCCCCAGCATTTGTACCTCACTTCTCTGTCTTTAAACTTCTTGCTACAAAATAACCACCCAGTGCTCCTGTCAAAGGGTTACCTCATCTTTTAGTCACTTAGATCCATTTGCAATCATCCTTTATTCCTCTTTTGCTCTCAAGCCATATCCAATACATTAGCTAATCCTGTCCACATTATCTTCACAAATATATCCAGAACCTACCCATTTCATATCGCCTCCACTGCTACCCCTTTCTTTGAGCTCCTCTCCAGTAGCTGCCTTAAAATGTCTCTTCCATACATTATGGCATGGTATCCTAACTGACATCTTGTTTCCCTACTTGCTCTCCTTAGTCTGTTGATAACCCAGCAGCCAGAATGATCCTGGAGAGATAAAAGCCGGAGTACTTCACTCCTCCACTCAGAACCTGGTGTCATTTAGTCAACATGATCCTTCGAGAGTCTCACCCATCTCCTCTACCCCATCCCATCGTGCCCTGTCACCTTCTGTCGTAGTCACTCACTTTTTCTTTGTTTTCTGTTTGTCTAACATGCCAATCACTGAATCAGTGATTTGCTTAAAACCCCCCAAGAGCTCCCCATTTCTTCCAGACTAAAAGCCAGATTCCTTTTGTGGCCTACAAGGACCTACAGGATCTGGCTGCTTGCTTGTTCTCACTCTGCCCTTACTAATTCTGCCTCCAGGGACATCCCAGTCTAAGAATGCTCCCTTATGGCTCACCATTTCTGTTCTTCTGTCATTGTTTTATTTTCTTCAGATCATTATTATTGACATTGTCTTG